GCTGAGTGCGCGCGCGCGTGTGTTGCTGTTGTTGTTGTTGATGATGGTGCTGGTGGTGGCACCACTGGAGAAGTGCTTGTGGGTTACGCGTGCGGGGGTCCGGGGGGCAAAGGGCCGCTCTGCCGTGAATCAAACACGCGATGGTGCCAATTGGATTGCCTTTAGAACGATTTACTTGTCGCCCGCGTACCAGTGTCAGTGCGGCTGCGACCTTGGAACGCATCCCGGGCAGTAGTGTGGGGGGCCTCGAAACGTTGCCGCGGGTTAGGTCCGGCTCGCCGCCCCTCGCAGTGTGGACGCTTCCGATCGTGTGGCGGTTCTGCACACAGACGCACGCACACACAGACGCACTCACTCACACACACACACACACACACGCGCGCGCGCGCCCATACAAACACACACTCTAAAAAATTGTTGTAAATTTACAAAGAAAAATTGGATGATGTCATTGTTTTTTGCCAATTACAACACATGTTGTAGTTTTACGAAAAAAAATTGGGTGGTCTTGCCATTTTTTGCAAAGTACAACACATGTTGTAAATTAACTTTAAAAAATTGGGTGACCTCACTGGTTTTTAAGCAAAAAACAAGACGTGTTGTAAATCTACGATAAAAATTAGGTCATCTCGTTGTTCTTTAGACAGTACAACACTTGTTGTAAATTAATAGAGAGAAATTGGCTAACCATAATGTTTTGTGAAAAGAACAACACATGTTGTAAAGTTACGAACAAAATTCGGATTATCTTGATGGTTTTCTTTTGCAAAGTACGGTACATGTTGTACGGTTACGAAAAAATAATTTATAATCTTATTGTTTAGTTCAAAGTACAACTAATGCTGTTAATTTATGAAAAAAAATGGATTTCCTGTTCATTTACCGGAGTTTGGCTGAAAAAAGAAAGGGGAGGTGCGCTTCAAGTGTTATAGTACAGCTGACACCTCGATTCATGTATGTCTTTGTAGCTAAGTGGTAAAAGGCGTGCGCCGCAAGTGAAACATCACAGGTTCAAAACCACCAGACAGACCTGTTTTTCAATATTTTACATCTTTCGCTTTAAATTGACAAAGACAAACACATTCAAAATTTTACAAGTTGTCGTATAATGATGACTTTTTCATTCATTTGATGATCGTGGTTGTATTTGGCAACAACCCTCTAGGACCGAAAAAAAATTGCCCCTCTTTGTCACCAAAAAACAAAGCTGCCTGTAAAAGTACAATCGTGTCGTAATTTTCAAAAACAACGAGTTTGTGGTACAAAATTTGCAGAAGTTTTGTTGTAAATTTACGAAAAAAATTCTTAGAGTGCACTCGCCGTAATTAGATACCTCTTCGCCCCTATTTTTTTCCCCGCACGCCACACTCAAAAAAATTTCAATACAAAATTCTGTAACATGGTTACGCAGTAATTTCCACTACAAATGTTACAGAATTTTGTATCAGCACTGATACAAAATTTTGTATCACGCGTTACGGTAAACTGTTTCCCGGTTACAGAATTCTGCAATGCAAAAATCATAAAAAATTGTCGTTTTATAAACAAAATTTGAACCTCAACGATCGTTCGTTCCTACACATTCGCTCCGTCGCTCCTGTACTCCCGATCACCCGGAGAAACCGAACTGCGTTCTCCGGAACCGAACCCCGGTCCCCCGGATTGCCAGCTCGGCATGCTACCGCTTGCGCCACAGCGCCGTGTGGGGAGGCACGCCTCAGACTGTCGATGACACCGAGCGGGCACGCTGCATGCCCAGGTAGTGGTGGGAAACGAGCCCTGTGGCGCGACAGTTAGAGTTTCTGGCCCGAAGCTTCTAAAGTACCATGCCCCACGTTAGAACTTTTCGCCCGATCAACTGTGATGTTAAAATTAAGCTCGTAATTTGACTTTAAATTTGCGATATTAATTTTTGCATCAGACGATATGTAAACTTGTAACGATATGTTACGGTTTTCTGTATCAGTTACAGTTATTTGCATAAAGATCGCATTTTTACATGGAACTATATCACTGATTGTGAATATTGAAACGAAAAGTACAGAATTTTGTATCAGTTTTAGAATTTTGAAGCACTGATTCGTAAATTCGTAACATTCTTGACGTGATACAGAATTTTGTATCAAGGATACAAATTTTTGTATCCGACTGACGTGTTACAGAATTTTGTATCAAGATCGTTACAAAATCCTATATTATTTTTTAGAGTGCACTGCAGTGGACACTTCCCCATTTCATTTTTGTTTTCCGTTTCCTTTTATATTAGTTTTTTGGTTCATTTCCTTTCGCGTTCCGTTTGCCAAAGCAGCACGCATCATTAGGTAGCGACATGACCGAGGCCGCGGGGTCGAGTTAATCAGTGCCAACTTTATAAAAAAAGGAGAAAAAAAAACAAAAAAAAAGGGATCGAGAGGGCTGCTATTAGGGTAATTCGATTCGGGGGTGTCGCTAATATCGCCAGATTGGTCAATCGACTCATATTCTTCCCGAGCATCCTCGCCCTCTCTCTCTCTCTCTCTCTCTCTCTCTCTCTCTCTCTCTCTCTCTCTCTCTCTCTCTCCGGCCCTTTCCGCACCCCCGGTCGGGTATTGGAAGCATATTACCGCACGGTCGGTGGGGCTTAACGGTAAGTGCAGCGCGTTGGTGGAATGAAAATTTCTCATAAGCAGAGAGTGCTGCTCCGCCCCGCTTCGCCCGCACCGCGCGCATGCCGGCCTCAGGCAAACAAAATTTTTAAAAATCACAAAAAAGGAGCATTTTTTTGGTCTAGGGAACTTTAAAGTGTACGTGGTGTTCGGGGAAGACGAAGCTCTGCCTGACCGGTCATCCGTCAACGCGTGTGGAGTTTCGTCCGCCTCCACCGGTCTTCTGGCCCACTGCGAGCCCCGGTAGCCAGTGTAGGGCCGGAAGAAACCGGAGGGACGGCGGGGGACCAAAACAAAGCCCGGTGGGGAAAGGACGAACCCGTGAAAAACTCGATAGCGCCAATTAGTCGTATTTTCGTCTCCTGCGGGAGACGAAAGATAGGCGGCTTGGAGGCGCAAGGAAGGCGAATTGGAGACGACAAAGAGGCGAAATGGCGACGGGAAGAAGACGAGACGCTCGTCTCCGCCTCGTCGTCGGCACGACGCCGTTCTGTCAGCGATTCGTCGCCGTTTCCTCTCTTAAATACGTCTTTCAGCGACGACATGGAGACGAAAGGGAGACGAAAACAAAATGGATGCTGAGAAAAATGAACCACGGAGTAAGCCGGTGGTGGGCGTCGAACCACGCAACTGTGGGTTAGAGAGCGAGGGCGGAACCGTTCGGCCAGAACTATTCCGCACGTCTCGAAGAGCGGTGCCGGAATGTCATCAATAGGAGACAATTAAACATCAATGCAGCATGACTTTCCAAGAAGTAAGTCTGGTTTCCTTTTAACGACGTACAATCCGTTGCTGACATGTACTCACTAAATACATACTTAGAGACAGTCGCATAGTCGCATATCAAGAGAAGTCAACGTCAAAGTCTACACTGTAATGGAAAGCAATGTGCGAACTCCTGAACTAACGGTGTCACTCTTCAAGACTGGCGGAATCGTTCTGGCCAAGCGGTTCCGCCCTCGCTCTCCAACCCACAGTTGCGAGGTTCGACGCCCACCACCGGCTTACACCGTGCTTCATTTTTCTCAGCATCCATTTTGTTTTCGTCTCCCTTTCGTCTCCATGTCGTCGCTGAAAGACGTATTTAAGAGAGGAAACGGCGACGAATCGCTGACAGAACGGCGTCGTGCCGACGACGAGGCGGAGACGAGCGTCTCGTCTTCTTCCCGTCGCCATTTCGCCTCTTTGTCGTCTCCAATTCGCCTTCCTTGCGCCTCCAAGCCGCCTATCTTTCGTCTCCCGCAGGAGACGAAAATACGACTAATTGGCGCTATCAAGTTTTACACGGGAAGGATCGGCCAGAAAGCCTTTTGAGCCTGTGGCGTCGTTGTCGTCGTTTCGATATCTTAATCCCATGACGTGTCTCGCAGGGAGAGAGAGAGAGAGAGAGAGAGAGAGAGAGAGAGAGAGAGAGAGAGAGAGAGAGAGAGAGAGAGAGAGAGAGAGAGAGAGAGAGAGATTGACAGAGTGAGGAAAAAGCGTCTGACGAGGGCACGGCCCGACAGTTCACAGCGTGGCTCCGATTCTGGGAATACAGTCGGCAATCCGCGGCAGTCGCCTGCCTCTGCTTTCCCTTCAGAGGTCCTATCAGGAGGAGGAGACGATTCACGCTCAAAAGGGCCAAAACGACGACATCTCGCGCGGATAGAGGCAGAGCGACGCAAAGGACTGAGTCAGGACTCTCGGCATTGAGTCCGCTGGCCGCGGCGCCGCGGTGCGGTACACTGCGACACCCCCCAGCAAAAGTCTGCTATCTGTGCGAGGCTAAAACATAAGCCGCTATCTGCGTGCGGTCTAATTCTAAAGCCGCCATCTGCGCCGGCCCAAAATAAAAGCCGCTAACCAACTTACCGTATAGGTTAGGGTTGACATAAACATAGCAAATTACTAATTAACCATTCGGACAATGTTTCTGGGCCGTGGCAAAGTTACTCAGACAAACTTTAGTAACAAACAGGTAAAAGTTTGATAGCGATGTCTGTATTAGTTCTTAAACTATATAGAGTAAAAGTCGCGAGGTGGGGAAAGCAGATAGCGGCTTTTATTTTGGTCCGGCGCAGATGGCGGCTTTAGAATCGTTCGCACGCAGATAGCGGCTTATGTTTTAGCCTCGCACAGATAGCAGACTTTTGCTGGGGGGTGTCGACTGGTCGACGTCCCGTCAGCCGACTGGCGTCCACGTGCGCGTCTTCGGACCGCCTCGGCCCGTCAGGTGGTCGAGCGTCGAGTGCAAGGGGCACGGCAGTCGCTCCGTCTCTCTCGCACCTGCACGGCCCGGCCCTCGAGTGCGCGAGCGCGACGGAGCGCGGCGTGGACTTTATCTGTCGCCTGGTCCGCGGCCCCTCTGCAGTCCGACGGCAGAGACGCACCGCCGCGGAGACACTCTTCGCTTCGCGGGCTCTGCGGCGCTCTCGCTCGCTCCACCAGCACCATGCGTTGCGTCGCCGTCGCGCTCGTGGCCCTGCTGGCCCTGGCGGCCGCCCCCGCGGACGCCCTGCGCGCCCTCATGGTGTTCCCCTTCGCCGCGCACAGCCACAACACCATGTTCAAGGTAGTCGCCACGCTCGCACGACGCTGTCAAAACTTTGGTTGATGAAAATGTTCATCATTAAGTGACGAAAACTTGTCATCGTTTTTGAATGATGATAACGGTCATCATTTTCAAGTGATGAAAATGTCATCTCCAAATTCGTCATCAAGTGCCACCACAAGCGCTGCAGGTTCTGAGACGCCTCGTTGTCCAGGGCATGGCGGAGGCGCTGGTGGACCGCGGCCACGAGGTGGTCATGTTCAGCCCGTTCCCGCGCAGCAAGCCGCGCGCCAACTACACGGACATCAGCACGGCGAGCGGCGAGTCCCTGGTGGGGTCGGTGGACTTCGACAAGCTGACGCCCGTCACGGTGGACGTGCCCGCCCTGGTGCCCTACATGTACATCAAGGCCATCCACGAGATGGGCGGCGACCACCTGTGCCGCCAGGTCTTCTCCATGCCGGAGCTGCAGAAGGCCCTGGCCGGCGGCTACGGTCGCTTCGACGTGGTGTTCACCGAGGCCTTCGCGTCGGACTGCTGGGCAGCCATCCCCCACGCGCTGCAGCTACCCGCCATCAGCCTGGCGTCCGGACCCGACTGGCCCTGGATCCACGAGCGCATGGGCTCCGTCGACAACCCCTCCTACATCATCAACGTCTTCACCACGTTCAAGGACCCCATGTCCTTCTGGGACCGCCTGCGCAACACCGTCTTCGCCACGTCCATCAACTACTTCTTCCAAGTAAGACTTCAAAAACGAACAATTCTTAGAACTCTTTCTTGTCGTTCATTTTCTTGTGATTGACATGAATGTTTTTGTTTGTTCGTTCCCAGAGCAAGCTCCAGGACGGCTCCGACGCGGTGGTGCGCGAGTTCTTCGGCGACAATGTCCCTCCGCTGCGCGAGCTGGTCAAGAACACCAGCCTGCTGCTGCTCAACCGGCACGAGAGCATCAACGCGGCGAGGCCCACGCCCCCCAACATCGTGCACGTCGGCGGCCTGCACATCGCGGTGAGTCCCCCACAGTGGGCCAGAAGGCCGGTGTAGGCGGCCAAAACTTCAGACGCGTTTCGAGCTCCAGAGTCGCTGAACAGGACTCGAACCGACCGTGTGACCCCACCAATGGATTGCTCGTTCGGAGAGCAATCCATTGGTGGGGTCACACGGTCGGTTCGAGTCCCATTTAGCGACTCTGGAGCTCAAAACGCGTCCGGGATTTTTGACCGCCTCCGCCGGTCTTCTCGCACACTGTGTGACGTTTGTCTGCGGCACTGCAAGTCTTTGCGTGCCGACCAGTCTCTCATTACGACGACCCGACAAACTTTGGCCGTGGGAAGGCTCGCCGGCGTCGCCATGGCGTCGCGCGGCACGGAGGCGCGTCACGCTTTTCCTTTTACTTTGGCCACCAAGACCAAGGCCAGGACGACGCCTAGGTGATGCGGGTGTGACCTTAATTTAATCAGCAGGTGCTCCGCTACCGAAGCGATATTACTATTTGGCTTCGCGGAGTTTGGCGATTAGATTGGTTTTTTTTCTCTCTGTAAGTTTCATTAGAGTGTCTGGCGGGCTGAATGCAGCACTGAGTGACGCACAGTGGGCCAGAAGACCGGTGGATGCGGTCAAAATCCCGGACGGGTTTGAGCTCCAGAGTACCTACATGGGACTCGAACCGAACGTGTGAACCTAACAACCTCGCTGACCAAAGTGCTGTGTGTGCAGCCTCCGCCCGGCACCCTGGACGCCGACCTACGGTCCTGGATGGACGGCGCGGAGCACGGCGTCATCTTCTTCTCGCTGGGCTCCATGCTCAAGGCCGCCAGCATGCCCACCCAGATGCGCGACACCCTGGTGGAGACGTTCCGGCGCATCCCGCAGCGCGTCGTCTGGAAGTTCGAGGCGGACATCCCCAACCTGCCGGACAACGTCAGGATCTCCAAGTGGCTGCCCCAGATGGACATCCTCAGTGAGTGTCAAAAGACTGTTCCCGGTTCTCCCTGGGAACAGCCCCTAAAAACCGCCTCAGTCTTCCCTGAAGGCTACCCGGGGAAACCAGGAACTGTTATCGCCGCATAAAAGCGGAGGTCGCCGACGGGATTCGAACCCACGACCCGCGGCACGGCGGTGCACGTCTCTAACCGCTCGGCCATCCCGACAGCCCACCCCAAGACGGTGCTCTTCATCACCCACGGCGGCCTGATGGGCACGCTGGAGTCGCTGCACTGCGGAGTGCCTATGATGGGCATCCCCCTGTTCGCGGACCAGGGCGTCAACATGGACATGTACCGCGGCCTGGGCATCGCCGAGAGCATCGACCGCTTCAACATGGACGTCGACACCACCGTGGCCACCATCAAGAAGCTGCTGGACGGCGGCGGGTAAGCAAGGGGCGGCGGGCCCAGAGCCGGCTCGCAGTGGACCAACCCGCCCTCTTGGCGGTACTCTAACGACGTCTCGGCGTGCAGGTACTTGAAGCGGGCGCGCGAGATGAGCGCCGCCTTCAAGGACAGGCCGCAGCAGGCCGCGGACCAGGCAGTGTGGTGGACCGAGTACGTGGTGCGCCACCGCGGCGCGCACCACCTGCGACCCAGCAGCGTGCGCCTGCCCCTCTACCAGTACCTGCTGCTGGACGTCATCGCCTTCCTGGTGCTCTGCTCCGCCGTGGCCGCCACCCTCGTGTGGGTCGCCCTGGTGGCGGTGGTCAGGCGGCTGTCACGCGTCGCCGCCAGCACCAAGGCCAAGAAGGCCTAGCGCGCCGCGGCCGGGCGAATCTCAACGAACTGCGCATGCAGGCTGCTTCCGACGGCCTGTCTCTGTCGCGCCCACACCTATAGGACGCCCCATGAGTGCGAGAGAGACAGAGCGACGACTCTCGGGATCGGTCCGCTGATTGCACGATAGCGAGGCGTCAAGACGGCGACCTTGTCCTTGGTCGAGGACACTTGTATATCGGCTGCGGCACTGCCGCCAACCCGAACCAGGATCTCACGACGCACTGCTGTGATTGGCTGGCACCGACACCAGTGGGAGTAAATTATTTATTGAACGATGACGAAATAAATTGGCGGACGATGACGACACTTCGGCAGTCTTACTTGGCTTTCCCTCAATGTCGCACTGAAATTACACGGTTGACTCATGTAGTCAACTCGGTAAAAACGGTTCCCGGTTTTCCCAGGAAAGGCATAGGCGACTTCCAGTGAATTCCTGCGAAAACCTGAAGCCGCTTTTACCGTGCATCTAAACACTCTTCCGTTTGCAAGCGTGTTGCAACACACGATGCAATGGCGATAGGTATTCGCGACAATTTCAAGAGGCAGCGAGCGTGAGATGGCGCAACCGCCAAGTGGTCGGATAATCTGCCGATAAACAACAAAGAAACTCATCTAGCGAACCACGTCAGCAGAAGTGGGAACCATGTAATGCGTCACTGCGCACCAAAAAAATATCCGCTTCTTCAACTGATATACCTGCATCGTGCGAACTTACTTGAATGTGCCAACTATAAATTCGCTAACTGCAAGTGAATTTTCTTGGTTCACGCTACAGCTTCTTAGGATGTGGGCAAGGCAATGGATCCGAGCAATTTCCGGACAAGATACGAGCAACTTCCGAGCGACTTCCGGTGTGCCGCCCGCTTGCTGGCCGCTTGCACCGCCACCCCACAGGTCGAGGCGCAGGCGTCGGCACGGGGCTTGCCGCCAAAGCTAACGGGGACAGCTTCAATTTAAAATGGGGTGCGGGAGAGGGGGGAGAAGAGGGAGGGAGAGAGAGAGAGAGAGAGAGAGAGAGAGAGAGAGAGAGAGAGAACGCCAGCGCCACCTAAGCCGCCGTCGCGGCCGCCCTCATACCCGCCTGGTTTTTCCGTCGCCATAGCGGCGTCCCCCCCCCCCCCCCACTTCTCACCTCCTAGGCGGCGGTGGCCGAGCCTCTCGCGTTATTATGCCAATATCTCACCAGCCGGCCATCCGGGCCATTTATTTGGCCCGTCCAAATTGCCTACCACCCCCCTCCCCCATTTTGTCGGCGCCCCCATTATCCCTTGCGGTCCTTGCATGCGGTCCTCGGGGGTCCTTCCCCCACCTGCTGCCTTTTGCAGTGTTGCGACGCCCTTCTAATTAGGCGGCGCATTCCGACTCGTATTTATGGAGCCGGCCGGTAATTACTTGCAGTGTCGTTAGTCGCCGACACCGGACCGATCGGGAGGGCGCTACTCCACAGTGGGCCGGAAGACCGGTGGAGGCGGTCAAACTTCCGGACGCGTTTAGGGCTCCAGAGTCGCTAAATGGGACTCGAACTCAACGCGTGACCCCACCAATGGATGGCTCTCTGAACGAGGAATCCGTTGGTGGGGTCACACGTTCGGTTCGAGTCCCATTCAGCGACTCTGGAGCTCAAAACTCGTCTGGAGTTTCGGCCGCCTCCACCGGTCTTCTGGCCCACTGTGCACTCCCGTTCGTTCACCGCGTCTTGCCACTACACTGCGCGGCGGAAATGGCGACGCTTTTCCTGCGGGCGACTCGCGGGAAATAAAAAAGGGAAAGCAAAAATAGGAACCGGTAAACAACAAAAACAAAAAAGACACGCATGGCGGAACACTACGGATCAATTTCCAAGCCAACAGAGCGTCCGGCTCTCTCTCTCTCTCACTCGCACGGACACACACACATGCGTCCGTACGGGGGACCAAATCAAACGCAAACAAAAGGGGGCAATAACGCTCGTCCCATCGAAATCAATTACGGTGTGCCATTCCGCCCCGCTGGACCGTTTTGCCTTTTGTCTGCGAGGTGGCCATCGATATAGCTGTCTTGATAATTTTTCAGGCGGATAGAGAGAGAGAGAGAGAGAGAGAGAGAGAGAGAGAGAGAGAGAGAGAGAGAGAGAGAGAGAGAGAGAGAGAGAGAGAGAGAGAGAGAGAGAGACTTGTGACGAGTTGTGTTGTGTGGCCCCCGCCCCGTCCTTTGAAACAAAATGACTGACTCCCTCGCGCCTTTTTTTGCGGGTCGTTGTCGCCAACAAGTTTCGAGTTTCAAAAAAAAAAAAAAAGATTTTAAACAAAATTTAAAAAGTCTTGAAAAAAAAGTGCATTTCAAAAAAAAAATCTCATTCAACGAACGTTAATGAAAGCAGATGATACGTCGCGTTTCACAACTGCTGTGATAGCCGAGAAGTTAGAGACGTGGGATCGAGTTACCGCAGGCCGGCGTTCGAATACCAGCGTCATAAAAGTTTTTTCGACTTGCTATTCTAAGGGTGGTGGTTCGAGGCCATCAGAGCCGAGCCGTGTGCAACAGGCCCACATGCCGGAGGTTCGACTCCTAACAAATATTTCCATTTAATTTTACTGCCTCACCCAGTGCGGTCCAAACCCGTGAACGAGAGCCGACTTCAAGTGTGGGACGTGGTGGTCCAGGGAGTAGAGGCGTCGGTTCCCAGTGCGAGGGTCGGCGGTTCGACTCCCCCAACTTCTTGCGAAATTTTGACCGGGTCGGTCGAGTCCTGTTGCGTCAAGAACCCACCTCACGCCGCTCCACATATCATGGGCCGTGGTGGCCGAGAGCGTAAAGACGTGTGACCCCGATGGCGGGGTCCGGGGATCGAATCCCATCATTTCATTACATTTTTCGACTGCCTTCCTCCCACTGCAACTCAAACCCGTCGTCCAACATGCCACCAGACGTACAAGCGTGATAGCGTAGTGGTCAGAGTCACATTCACCTGGCCACTCCGCTGTGGGTGTCTAAAAAGCAATCCGCTTCGGCGGGTTGGCCTCGGCACTGGAGCGATGGCGTATTTGATCCATCAATCCAGACCATCCGGTGTGTGGTTGCGGGTGGTGCCTCCTTGACTCGTCGGGGAGGCGATGATAAGTCCTTTGAAGCTGGCCTAAAACGCTGTATGTTCGGTACGGGAGCGCCGGACAGTGGGGGTACCATGGGGTACACAACCAACCCTACGAAAACAAGAAGCTCCCACCAAACCTCTTCTCTGTCTGAGTCTCTCTCTGTCTCTCTGTCGTCTCACTCTACGTCCCGCCCCTCAAAGAGCTTCGTACTGGGTGCTCTCACCCAGCTGCCTGAGCTTTGGGGTCCTACTGGGTCCCCCGGCGAACGCTTAGGGTCGCTGACGGGATTAACCCCAGGTACCTGATAGCACCGGTTCCCATCCCGAACACCGAAGTAAAGCAGGAGGCCTCCCCATTAAGACTGGGGAGGGGGTGTAGAGTTCAAATTTTTTTCTTTTCCCTTTCAAATTTCTCGGTTAATACTCGTTTGGTTTTCTTATACGTAGTAGTATGCGGGCTCATTCCAAAGATAGTAATTAAAATTGTGTATAAAACAAAATATATAGACCCGAGCGAGGTGGCCGGTGCCATGCCGAGCTGTGGCCTGCAGCGCTTCCCCTGCCGCGACGCTGTCGCGCTTCCCCTGCCGCGACAGCGTCGCGCTTCCCCTGCCGCGACAGCGTCGTGCTTCCCCTGCCGCGACAGCGTCGCGCTTCCCCTGCCGCGACAGCGTCGCGCTTCCCCTGCCGCGACAGCGTCGCGCTTCCCCTGCCGCGACAGCGTCGCGCTTCCCCCGCCGCGACAGCGTCGCGCTTCCCCTGCCGCGACAGCGTCGCGCTTCCCCTGCCGCGACAGCGTCGCGCTTCCCCTGCCGCGACAGCGTCGCGCTTCCCCTGCCGCGACAGCGTCGCGCTTCCCCCGCCGCGACAGCGTCGCGCTTCCCCTGCCGCGACGCCGTCGCGCTTCCCCTGCCGCGACAGCGTCGCGCTTCCCCTGCCGCGACAGCGTCGCGCTTCCCCTGCCGCGACCGCGTCGCGCTTCCCCTGCCGCGACAGCGTCGCGCTTCCCCTGCCGCGACAGCGTCGCGCTTGCACCGCCCGCCGAGCTGGCCCGAGTGCCCCGGACCGGGCTGAATCGGGAGGCATTGTTGCGCGATATTCCGCGCCTGGCCAGGCGGGGAGGGATTGTCAATGTTGCGCGCAGGCCGTCGCGCGCGAGGAGGGGCTGCTATTGTTTACGCCCGGTGCCGCTGGCGCTGTATCGGGGAGTGATTGTCGAATTCCGCGCAGGCTGCGCCTCATTGCCAGCCAGCCACACGCACCAGCCCGCCCCGGCAGCCAGCCCCTATTATATTGTTGAGGACACGCGCTTCGTTTTTGGACTCGAGAGTAAAAGCACGCTGACACCTTCATGTGTATAGTAGTTTTAAGTATGTTTCAAGTGTGAAGGTATCATCTGCTAAAAATCTGAAACCACGTATCAAGCTCTTCAAACCACTTCAAGGCCTTTTTTCTCCCCGCTGCCACCCCTGAATAAAACGCGGCCGCACCGGTCTAACGGTCTAACTTCCTTCGCCTTGTCGTCATCATGTCTCCCCGCGTGTTTTCGCCTTATTACTTTTAACATCATTTTTGTTTTTCTGCGCCCTGCCTTTCGGATCGAGACGGCCCGGCCAAGTGGCAAGGCAGTGGCAAGCCAGTGACAAGGCAGTGGCAAGGCAGTCGACAGGCCAGTGGCGGCCCCGGAAACGCCACTCTCCCCTACAGTGGGAATCAGCGATGCCCCCGGGCTGCGAAAAGGGCAACTCCCCCCCCCCCCTCCCCCGCCGCGGCCCTCCGCCCCACAGACTCCTCCGCGGCTCTCCGCCGCCACAAAGGAGACTGTGTTTGCAAGTTCTACTGATTTCGCGGCCCCGCCGGGGATTCGTTATTGTCTCGCGGCTTTAGAATAACCAAACAAAACCGAGAGACTGTTCCGAACAATTACACACGTCGACGCCGCCGGGGCGGGGCGGGGCGGGGCGGGGCGGGGCGGGGCGGGGCGGGGCGGGGCAGCGCCCCCCGTTTATATCAACCCCTGAGCCGCGGGGCCGCGGACCAAGGGCATTTGGAGGTCACCCCCCCCCTTATTCACTAAATCGGTCACGTGGTTCACTAATTGGCGGCTTGCCCCGCCTGACGAGCAGAGCCGCATTGACTCCGTTCTGCCTCTCTTTTCCCATTTTTTTTTTTAAATTTTCCTCTCCTTTTTACTTCATTCATTTTCTCCAATCGTCTTTCCCCACCTCCGCGC